GGAAGACCGGCACTTCTTGAACTTTCTCCGGATGGGGCCCTTGAGGTGCTCTGGGGCGCCCGGCCTCGCCCCTTAGCCCCGACTCGCGCCCTCTAGGAGTCGCTCTTGTGGGCTCCTTTGCGGGGCTGGCCGAGTTAGCTTGGCCGCGGGCCGGGCGCTCACGCCTGCTTGTGTCTGTGTGTGTGCCTGCAGGAGACAGCGACAGCTAGGCCGCGCAACCACGATGAGTCTGCAGTGGACCGCCGTAGCCACCTTCCTGTACGCCGAGGTCTTCGTCGTGCTGCTGCTCTGCATCCCCTTCATCCCCCCGAAAAGGTCGGGTTGCACAGTGGGTAGGCCCTGGGGGTTGGCCTTGAAGTTGGGCCCGTCAGAAACAGATCGAACTCGACCAGGGTGGGGGGTGACCAAGCTGTACCGGGTCTTGCTAAAGCACCACTGGGCTGCTCTGCTGCTTTTTCACCTCTGGCTGAGTTTCTTCCGTGCACACCCTGCATCCTGCCCTTTAGCGTGCCCCCAAGGAAAGATACCCACACACACACACACACACACACACACACACACCCAGCTCAGGCTCTGGGCCTCCCTCCCCTGCAATCCTTGGACTGCAGTCTGCAGGGACAGCTATGTGGGCGTCGGCAGGCTTTCAGCACCCAGTCATGCTGCTGCAGATTTGGTGACTTCTGGCCTCACTAGTGTTGCTTCACGAACGTTACTCAGTCTGTGAAGGGTGAAGCCAGGTTCTCTTCCCATGTGGTAGGGGCTAGGGAAAGTGCACTCAGAAAGCATTTCTCATCATGCCTGATAAGAGAACATGTGATCTGTGCTGACACCCCTCCCCCCCAAGGCCCTTTCTTCTCCTTCCTTGTGCTTGTAGTGGGGAGCCTGGGCAGTTGGAGGTGTACCAGAGGCTCACCTGTATTGGGCAGTAGACATTCTGGGAAACTGGAAGATAGACTACCTCCTGAAGGAGACAGGAAGGAGTCCTGGTATAGTAGTTACATGTTGCTCTGTGATCTCAAAGGCCAGCAGTTCTAAACCACCAGCCCTCTCCAAGGGAGGAAGACAGGGTTTTCTACTCCCATAAACAGAGTCTTAGGAACTCACAGGACAGTTCTTCCCTGCTCTATAAGGTTGCTGTGTGTCGGCATCGACTCGATGGCAGTTGAGAGGATCTTGGAGAGAGGGGGTGAGCTGGAAGGCACTTAGGGTGACAGACAAGCCCAGTGCCACGTTGGATCCTGAGTCCCACAGAGTATTTGAAAAATAGCCACAGTTAGAAACTTTGGCTCTGATCTGGAGAGGGTTGCTCAGTTTCTATATCTGGTCGATGTTTTTGAAAGGTTCTTACCTTTCAGAGGGCCGTACTGAAGTATTAATGGGTAAAAGTGGTGGGTTGGATTCATTTCACAAGAATCCTAGGGGAGTGGGCGTATAGATGAAGGGCGATTGATTAGTCGTGTTGAAAAACACCTTAAGAAAATAGGAGCGTGTGACAAGAGATTTTGAATACCTTGAAAAGAAATATGGGAAAGGTAATTGCCTTCCTTAGAAACTATCTTTGTTTAGGAATGTTGTTTCCCAATAATTTTGACACATGGACAGTCATTTTTAAAAATTTTGTTTTACATGTATTTTGTTGCTTCTCTTGACCAAGCCTGCTGCTATTTGGTTAACTCTATGATTGACTCCCCCAGGACTGAGTAGAGCCATAGGGAGTGGCTGGTAGGTTCGAATGGCTTCCTTTGGGGTAACCTGCTTCGGCAGCAGGGTCTTAACACCAGAGAAATTCTCCTGCAGCTGCTCCTCGGCTCCACTGGTGCCCTCCCCCTTTTCGTGCCCAATTCAGCCTCAGGCCATTTTGTCTCCTGCACAGGTGGCAGAAGATCTTCAAGTCACGCCTGGTGGAGTTGGTAGTGACGTACGGCAACACCTTCTTTGTGGTTCTCATTGTCATTCTCGTACTTCTGCTTGTGGGTGAGTGAGCTGGGGCTGAGACCCTGACCCTTGCCCATGACCCTTGCCCTGTGTCATGGGGGAGTTCCCTGCAGTAGACCTGTTGTGTGTCACTCTTTGTGTCTAGGTGACTATCACAGTTTGCAGGGCCCCTTTAGCAGTGGGTGGAGCTTAGACCCAGCCCCCTTCTTCTTAGGATGGCCCCCCTCACAGGCCCATGAACATGGTCAGATAACTGATCACCTGTCACTTCCACAGTAACACTCTGCTCTCCCTCCATGCCTGACCTTGGCTCTGGTGGATGGGGGGATGGGAAACCCTGTCACTTGTCTTCAGTAAGAGGAGGGGAGAGACCCCAGGCCTCTCAGCTTAGACAAGTCTTTCGGGGTCCTTCTGGCTCTCCGGTTCTATAACCTCTGTGCTGAGTATACCCCTAGATGCTTGGAAGATGAGCTGGTTCAGGGATGGGAGGGGTTGGCAGGTGACCATTTGAAGATGAGGGGTTCGAGAGAGGCTGGCTGCAGGTCTACTGGCAGGCTTGCCTTGCTGTGGGGTCGGTGAGGCAGGCCCTTGCTTGAGAACAACGCAGCTCTGGAGGGGCTGGGCTGCCAGCCACGAACAGGTCCGAGGGCTTGCCTCCCCAGGATCTGCAGCTGAGCCTGGCCAAGGGAGTGTGCACAACCCCACTCGCCAACAGCAGCCTTTGGTACTGCCTTCTGCTGTCTCGGCCTGTCCAATCTGTTCAGGCAGGGCTGCCTCAGAACTGGCCAGGTGGGGCCGACCAGCACCCAGGCACAGAGGATGAGTGCCAGCTGCCTGTATGCCTCCCAGAGTGCTGGAAGAGGATCCGTGGGCTTGCTCTCTTCCCAGTTGAGGTTCTCTCTGAGCCAGGAATGGGTGAGGTTTATGCATAGCATACTGGGGCTGAGTGCCACGAGAAACCAAGCAGCACAGCTCTTGGATTGACTGGGATTTAGCTCTTGGGGTGAGGGCCAGAATTGGGTAGAGGACGATTCACTCATTTTTCCCTATCCTGTTTAGGAGATCCTGTGAGGACCTTTGAAGCTGCCAACAATTACGAGGGTGGGGGGGCGAGGTTGTCACTGGTTCTCTGCCCTGGGGTTCGGGATACTGTTGGGGAGCAGCATGCACCAGTCGGGTATTAGTTGACCCTGGTTTTCACCTAGCCATGGCTGGCTGGGGCCTTTGGTGGGACGGGCCTGGGGCGGAACTGGCAGAGCCCCCTGACCTCTAGCAGAGCCCTGAGATGGGGGTAGGGGTGCCCTGTTGTACTACGTCCCTGGGTCTCCACTGATGTCCCCTGGTCCACTTGTACCATCAGCCCAAAAAGTCCTTAAAGCATGTTGCTGTCAAGTTGATTCCAACTTGTAGTGCTTTTGGACAGAGTGGAACTGCCTCACTGATTTTCCTCCCACACCAAACACTAGGCTTTTGATTCCCATTCCCAGGTGGTCCTCCGGGGGACCAGCTTCCTGAATGCACGTGACAGAATAAAACTTTATTTAATCCTGTTTTTCTGATTAGAGAAATAATGTACCCTTATTTTCTTGAATTCTGAAACTTAGAACCTTGGATCAGCTGCTGTGGAGTCAGTTCCCAGTTTCTGGTGCCCTGTGGGCACCGGGATTTTCTGGGCTGTGCTCCATGATGATTTTTTTCAGTGACCGCATTTCTGGAAGTAGACCCCCAGGCCTGCCTTCTTATGCACCTGTGGGCAAACCCAAGCCTCCACCTTGCAGTCAGCAGCTAGCTATTCACTGGTTACCCCGCTGAGGGTCCCCACACTTTGTTGTGAGTGGCCACAGGCATTTTCTATGCTGCCTTCTGAAGTTGCCACACAATGCTTTGTGCCGTGTCGTCTGCGTGGCCAGTGTCTTGGACACCTTTTTCTCCTCATTTGAATTCCTGTCAGATTCTTTGAGCTAGTGGCACCATCACCAATGCCCCCTTCTATTGATCCTCTGCCGACAATGTACATTGTACAGCTGCTGATCACATGACACAGGCTAACCCACATCCCCCATGGAGATCAGCTAAAAACCAAGCAGCCCAGCCATTCCAGCAGTCACACAGCCTCTTTTCCTCCACTCCCCAGCAGTAGCAGGGGGTAGTAGGGGTGGCATGATGCCATTTCCACAGTCAGGACTACCACCTGGAGCCATACACTCGATGGACTCTCGGGAGCCTAGGCTCCCTTGGTAGAACAGCTCTGTGCCCAGCACTATGAGCAGCCTGGGAAGCTCTCTGCTCTCGAACTTGGGGTAGAAGGTTGGGCCCCCTCTATAGCAGGTAAACTCCTGGGGAACAGCCCTGTGGCACCTCTCCTCCTACGTCTCTGGTGTGCTTGTCCTGAGAATGGATATGATTTCCTTTTGTGATCACGAGACAAGATCTTCAGCATGGTTGGCATGTTCCTGGGCTGGGGGTTGGGGAGCTCCTCAGCAGCCATTCCCAGGGCCGGGGATCTGGTTTCTCTTGAGCTGGAACTGGAGGCAAGCTCCTCTCTCACTGCACAGATGCTGGCCGGGAGATCTGGAAGTATGACGACGTAACGGAGAAGGTGAACCTCCAGAACAACCCTGGCGCCATGGAGCATTTCCACATGAAGCTGTTCCGTGCTCAGAGGAACCTCTACATCGCTGGCTTCGCCTTGCTGCTCTCCTTGTGAGTGCTGCCTGTGGCTCGTCCTGAGGCTTAGGGGCCTTCAGATAGGGGCACTCTCCCAGTTAGAGGAGCTTCACCATTTCCCAGTGAGCAGCGTGCTAAGAAGGTGGGGATGAGCTGAGACTCAGGACCTGGGATGCAATTGTGTGGTCACTTGCTCTGTTTGTCCAACAATTTCTTCCTCTAGAGTGGTCCCGATTCTGTAAGTTTGGTGGTGAGCATCTTTTAGTTCTCAGTGTTAACTGCCTCTTACGTAAGTCCTGACGTTGAACATCTGTGAGGGATGCCGTTGTTACACGTCATGCAAGGGATCAGATGTGTAAAAACTGCAGGTGCAAGTGAAGTTTATCATCACTCGGAGTCATTGTAAGTCAGGCTGACTGGTAGAGGTTCATGTCTGGGGGCCTGACCTGAGCGAGCCCAGCCAAACCGTTGGCTGTTGGTGGTTGGTGAGGCCGGGGGCCAGGGCCAGCCTGTGGTCCTGTTGGCTGCCTCTTGTTCCACAGCAGGGTTCAGACCTTCGGGACTTGTGTGTTCTCCAGCTGTTAACTGGCTGGCTGATCAGTAGCCAGACAGCCAAGGTCAAAGATTTGCAAAAAAATCTGAGAAGAGGCTTTCTCGGGCTCAGTGGTAAAAGATGTTCAACGTTGTCAGACTAGATTCCTTACTTGGTAGTGTGCCCAGAGAGGAAAACTTTCAGTGCTTCCAGGACATGCCCACTCTTGACCCTGGATGCAGCCTTCCTGTCCGAGGGTCAGGTTTTCTGGCTTAGTTGCTCTGGTGTACCTGGGTTCTCAGGGCAGGTGGGAACATTGCTGGAGGAGGCAAGGCCCTAGAGAAGCACTCAAAAGCATGTCAGCTGAAAGCTTCTAGAAGCGGGCAAATGATGAGCCTGGAGACATTCGTATATCAAGGTTTCAGGAAGTTCCCCAAACAGGTCCATGGAAAGGGCTGGCTGCCAGCTGGCGGGGGTGGGGGTGGGGACGACACTGCACCAGGCTTCTCTTTCTTGGAGGCTGGCTCACGTTTTCATCTCGTCTTTCATCTCTTAGTGGAGAGGGACCCAGGATCCAACCTGAGCCTGTAGGTGGGTCCTGCCTCTGCTTATCGGCACTCAGTCATTGTCAGTTGGGGCTGACTAATGGCATTTTGTGTCTGGGGTCCTCACCATAACGTCTGTGTTGCAGAGTGGTACCACAAAGTCACGAAATAGAGGCTGGTTAGGTAACACTGATCACTGTGGCCTAGTCAAGGTAACACGTGGCAGTGGAGTGGGCAGAGGGGTGCATAGGAAACCAGGAGGGAAGGAGAGCATAATGACCCTCTCGGCCGGTGTTGGGGACTAAAACCTGCCTGCCAGTGCTCTCTGTCAAGGAAGGTGGGAGGAGCGGCAAGCAACCCATGGTGGGAAGACTGCCCCAGGGAGAGTAGGAGAGAGGCTGAAAGTCATCACAAGTGGGAGCTAGCCAGGCAGAGTTTGGCATTGATCACAGCCATGTTCTAGAACAGTGGTTCTCAACCTGTGGGTCCTTCTACCCCCTCAGGGTCGCCCGATTCATCACAGCAGAAAAATGAGAGTAATGAAGTAGCAATGAAAATAATTTTATGGTTGGGGGGGGTTACCAAAACATGAGGAACTGTATTAAAGGGTCATGGCATGAGGAAGGTTGAGAACCACTGTTCTAGAAGGAGTTGCTTGGAAGTGAGCAGTATCCTTGGCAATTGCTATGTGATGCCACTTTAATCTCTACGCTCTAAGACCAGTGGATTCAGGTCCATGAGAGAGCTGGGCCGAAGTTTTTCAGCAAAGTGTTTGCCCATTTGGGTGGTTTTCTTGTGGATGAGAGGCTAAATGTTGGGCAGGTGTGGCCCCAAGTCACATGAGAGACTGCGTTCAGAGGCACAACACAGCTCAAGCTTGTGTCAAGGGGCTGCCGGAGGCTGACCAACCCTTGGCAGCTCAGTGCTGCCATCTGGGAGCTGAGTGGGCCTCTCCATGAGGGTGTGGAGACCTGGGTAGGACCACTGAGCCAGTGGCAGTGTATAGGAACCTTGGGAGAGATTGCCCATGTGCCTGCAAACTGCTGCTTTTGGCTGAGAGCACATTGCCGCTCTGGTGCTGCCGCACCCCTCCCCTCCACTAGCTGAGGCTCCTCCCTTCTCCGTCTAGCAGGGTGCCTCCTAGCCGGTCCATGTGTCACCCTGGGGCCTGTTCCCAGTGTACAGCACTCATGGAAGCTGAGTGCGTGGGCGACCTGGCAGTGTGGATTTTAAATGGACGTGCAGCAGAGCCACCACGGTGGGCCTATAGTACTGGGGGCTGCTGACCGGAGTCGAGTCCTGCTCCACTGTCACCACCATGGGGTAGAATGGCCAGCAGTTATCTCCCTGTCCTCTCAGGTGGCTTGAAATACAGGTACCCCTCATTTCTAGTGACGCCATTCCTACAACGACACAGGCACTTATTCTGGCCAATGCACTGCCCTCTCAGTGCTGATCCTGCCATCTGTGCTATCCATGTCTGCTAGCCTGCCTTCCATTTGACACGCCTGGTACCCTGACGGCATTCCTTTATAAATGCGTAAAACGAGAAGTGGTTGCATTTATGTGCGTGTGTGCATGAAATTGTTGAGGCAGCAATGATTCCTCACCTCCCTGTCCACATGTGAGAACACAGTAGGGCCAGGACCCTGTATGCACACCAGGGCCCTGTCCCAGAAAGAGACAAGGATTCGGGGGGGGCAGTTATTCTAGAACAGGGAGCCTAGGAGATGCACAAATTGCTGTGCCCCCCAGGACCTAGGTCTCCTTTGCCCTTGTTGGTGGGGCTGTTCCAGGCACAGTGGCTGAGTCCCCTCCCCAGGAGCTTCTTTTCTTTTCCTCAGCATAGTCTTAGCCACGGAAGCTTCTCTTCCCAGCTCAGCACCAGACACCCACAACCCATCTGGGAAATGAGGAAACACTTTAAAAATATACTTGCCTTCTTAACGACAAGAGGAAGGCCCAGAGCGCTCTGCCACAAGGCAGCCATCCACCTGGCCTGGAGTACCAGAGGAGCGTTTCTGTACTTGGGTGACCTTGATACACCCCATAGGTCATCTTAGTGACTTTCCCAGTGACTCCAGCTGTTTGCCAAGAGCAAGTGCCATGCATCTGGGGCTTCTACTTGTGCTGCACTGCCCCTTCGGTGGTGATTTTTTTTCCTTTTAATCATTGACATTAGATGGGTGGAGTCCTGGACCCCCAACCCTTCACTGTGGCCTGGGGGCTAGCCCGTACTGTAGAAGTTGCAATTCACAAGGCCCCTGGAGTCTTCCTGCCTAGGCAGAGTTCATCCAGGCCTGGGCACTTGGCCCTGTCTGTGTCCTGTTCCTTGCGCTTGTCTGGGGGGTTCTCCAGGAACTGAGCTGTTCTTACCCTTCTAGCCCCTCCTTTGGCCTGTATGTTCTGGAGAAGTGTAGAGACCTGCCGGTGCAAGTCAGAGAGCTTGAGTCCCCAGCTGTGGCTTCAAGCTATTCTCCCTCAGCCCAACTCTTAACTGCATGCGTGAGTACTTTGCTCCACCGTGAGCTCTAGTTGAAACCAGTAAGGATCATAGAACCCTCTGTCCATAGAACACCAGCATTTTCTAGCACTCAATTTCTTGGCTCGGCCCAAATAAACAGTCTCTAGCAAGAACTTTCAGACCCTGAGTCACTAACCAGACCTGCCGTGTGGGGCCTTTACAAATGGAGGAGAGAAGCCAAAAGACACTGAGAAGCCAGGCTTCTCAGGAGCCAAGCCTAGGCTCATGCCTACTTCCTGTCCCTGTAGTCAAGTCCCAGATGGCTTGAGTTGATAGAAACTGTTTGGACAGGGTGGCTTGCTGCAAGGCTTTCCCTCCTCAGTGCTACTGATCTGGCTTTGGATAGAAGGGGCCCTGGTGGCGCTGTGGGTTGGGCATTAGACCGCTAACCATGAGGTCAGCACTTCAAACCCACAGCTCCTCTGCAGAAGAAAGCTGAGGCTATCTGCTCTCAGGTCCCTGTGAGTTGACGTGGGCTTGGTACCTTCTTGTGTAGTAACCCTAGTTCCTCTGTCCTGACCTCTGGGAGGACGTAGCCGCCCCTGCTGATGGTGCAAGCTGTGCGAAAGTTACCTTCTCTTCATTCCCTTCCGGAAAACTGGGATGCCCCCTTGGAAGATGATGGTGACCTCAGGCACATGCTCAGCTGCTAAGCCACCACCCATCTGTTCCCAAGAGTACTGATCCCCAGAAGTTCCACCCACTGCCCCCAAGGTGCTGCCAAGTGCCAGCTACCCCCTAGGGCAGAGTGGAATTGCTCCCTCAGTTGCAGAGACTCTGACATTTCGGGAGCAGGTTTGTCACGAGTTTGAACAGCCAGCCACATTTTTGTTTTTAGCAGCCTAGTGCTTCACCCATGGCGCCACCAGCTTCCTCCTCTGGGTCTGGCACGTCTTTGTCTTTTCCAGGCATTGAGAGGCCTCAGTAGACCTGTGGTAGCTCTTGTCCCGCTTTCTGGTTTCATGACTGGCTGGGAGCCTCCTAGGTGTGTGTTCATGTCAGGAATTGGTTCAGTGAGAGGCCTTGGGGGGCAGCCAGCTGTCGTATTTGCAGGCTGACTGCCTCTGCCTGTACCCATCTGGCTGGGCCAGGTGCAATATGTGTGTTTAATAGCATTTCTTTGCCCACAGTGGGATGGAGCAGGGACCAGGTCAACGGTCACAGGTATGTGAGGTGCTGGCAGCTTTGCTGGGGTTGTGGCTCACCACAGAGCTCAGGAGACATTCTGAAACGTCTTCTTCAAACCTCAAGGGACCTGAGATGCAGGAGGAGCTGCTGGGGGGTGGGGAGCACAGTCTTTCAAGGAAAGGAGGGGTGAGCTAGGAGCAAGGTACCATCTTGTCAGACCATGTCTGTGAACTGATTCATTCCAGACCCTGTTCTTCTCCCCCCCCCCCAGCTATACTGACTCATAGTCTACATGTCACAAGATAGATCCCGGGTGCTGCTTTACATAAGAACCGGTTCACAGTCCTGAATCATACCCTCACATGTGCATGCGTATGTGTGGGTGTGGTGATTGTTCATTTCGTAAGGCTTTAGTCACACAGATAATGTTTAATTGTGCCACCCTTGGACCCAGGCTGATAGCCCCTCTGCCACCTGTCTGCCTGTGGGATTTGAGGGAACTGTTGTCTCAGCTGTGGTTCTAAAGCAGGGCGCCCAGAGCCTGGGACTTCTTGTCACTGCCTGCTTACCCCGCTCCCATCCCTGGGTGCCTACTCAGAGTAGAGACTGAAATGGTTCTGATCGGTTGGAGGAAGCACCCCTACCCCCAAAGACCAGTCTCCATGGCTGTGAAGAGCTTCCCTGAGCTGGGAAGAGTCACCTGACATCCCCAGGAATCCTCGAAAATCTGGCTTTCACTCCAGCCATTGTTCGGGGCTGCCAGTACCAGGTGTCCTATGTACACAGGAAGCCATGTTTCAGGGTTGCAGTTGGAGTAACGTCCTGTCAGAAAGTATTGCCCATGTAGCCGAGGGTGGGCCAGCTGACCCATTCAGCCTTGAGGAAGCCCGCGCGCGCGGGGCAGAGGAAGTGGTTGTCAGACCCCAGAACTCTTCCTCGCTCCCTATGATCAAGCCCTCGGCGCACTTCCGTCTGTGAGAAGCAGAGACCCTAGGGCTCCCTTTGCCCAAAGGGCAGAGGGCTGGGTGTTCTCTCTGGGTTGCAGTCTGGTAGGGTCTCATTGCTGGGTGGTCAGTGTTAAGCAGCCCTGGCCCCAGACACTGCCTCCTGTGCCCTCCCCTGTAGCTGCCTTCCTTGTCCTCAGGAGCATGCATGGTTTGGGATGGCTTCTATGTTATTGGTCCTGGGCTTGCTCACAGGAAGTTCTTGCAGAGGCAAGAACCAGGGCCTCTCCTAGTTGTTGTAAGCCGAGAGCCTCAACAGGTGGCACTGTGGCTCTGAGGCGCAGGCCCACAGGCCTCCCCTGCCCCTCTCCCTCCCCACACCTTAACCCCAGGGAGCAGCCTGGTTAGTGTTCACCCCCCAGAATATCTGAGGAGGAACTGGCAGGCCCCTCCCACCCACTCTGCCCACTTCCTGCTGCGCTGAGGGAAAGGGCTGAGGAAAGGACTGTGCAAGGGTAGCTGGCCCTACTGTGCTGGGCCCTCCAGTCTCCGGCCTTTCTAGAAACATGCCACGCTGCAGAAAAAAGATGCTGGAGAGCTCTCCATAACAGGAGGCTGAGGGGGGAATCAGGAGGGGAGGAAAGAACCCTTTTGGACAAGTCTTTGGGTCTAAATGTCTAGGCTAAAATGACATCAGAGGGAAGTCCATGTGAGGACAGAAGCAGACAGAGCAGAGGTAGAGAGGCCTGGCAGTGACTGATTTATTGGCATCAGGAGAGGAGAGGTGGCGAGAAGGTAGCTGTCTACTCTCAAGATCCAGTACTTACCAGCTGTGGCCACCCTAGGCGTCCTGGGGAGTGTACAGGTGCCCGTGTGGGGAGAGACTCCGCGCAGATAGCTTTCTGCCACCCGTTGAGGTGGGGTGAGGGGCAATGGAGAGGAGGCAGTGAATGTTGGGGTCATGGCTTTTCCACAGACCTAACTATAACCCTCCTTCAGCCTGGGGGTGCTCCAGAGGGGGTAGGTTGGGCTTTCTCAAGGACACGGCAGTGGGTGGGTATCTATTGGGTGGGGTGTGTAGGCTCTGTCCTTTAGGGCCCTTGTTCCCTATAGCTGACCTCCCTGTCATGGGGAAGTGTCATCCATGGTCCTGCCAGCCCTAGCCAGCTGGGTCCTTGTGGCGTCCACTAGGTGGCACCCCACAGCTGGTGCCCAGCTCTGCTGGTGCCCAGGCCAGGGTAGTGGGCCAGTGCCACAGCTTTGGCGTGCAGCCCCTAGACCCTTGCTGGGCCTGTGGGCTTGTCACACTTGACTTGCCCAGTGACTTCCGGCCATGATGGTGTGAGTCAGGCTGGCTCCTTCCCTGGTTCTGGGGCAGCTGGTCCTTCCCTCCACCTCCAGGGGGGAAGCCCAGTGGGGGTCAGGCCTGGTGGGCAGACTGAGCTAGGCGGGAAACCTGAGCCTTAGGCCACAAGGTTCCCAGACACTAATTTTAGCAAGCACATGTCACTGGAAACTGCCCTCTTCTGCCAGGAGTCAAGTGCCTGGCTAGGCCCATGCTGCTGGGGTCTGGGGCCTCACCCCACCTCAGTGATGGAGCAGCTTTGCCAGGACCCTGGGACTGAGGGCTGGGCCAGTAGGCGGTGTGGGCCTAGTGCTGTCCTTGGCCTTTCTCAGGGAGCCTGAGTGGCAAGTGTGGGGGAGCAGACCCTGTAGGAGGGCCTGGGTCGCTGTGAGGGATCATCACCTGGCCTCCTCTGAGCCTGGATGAAGGGGATGGCTCTCTTCTTTCCTGTGCACCCCATGAGCTGGTTCTGGTTGACTTGAGACTCCTCTCAGGCCTGCCATCTTTCTCTAGCCTCTGGCTCCTTGACTGAGCCAGGCTGCTCTCAAGGAATGAAGGGAGTGCATCCTGCCTCTTCCTGTCAGCTGCCATCACGGAGGATGGAGCGGGCCAGTCCCTCTGCTGGGGGGCCAGCCTCTGCTCCCAGCTGCCACCTGGCTGCCTCTGCTGGACATCAGGTGGCCTTGACTGTGTGAAATGTGGCTGGCTGCCTGGCGCAGTGTGTGCAGGAAGGGGCCGGGCAGAGCAGCCCTGTTCCTCCTGGGGAATGTGAAGGTATCGCCCAGCCTTAGCTTTGAATGTGGCTTATTCCCTGTGGCCCACGTCTCAGCTCCTCTGAGAGGTGGCTCTGGGGTGGCTGGGACATCCGGTTGCTGGCTGAGAAATGCTGGCACCTGGTATGAAGGAGTTGAGAGGCCCCACTTTGGGTGACTGCCAGCTTGAGTCCCTGCCAGAGACCCCTTCCCAGGGCCCAGAGAGGAGTGGATGCCAACCAGCCCCTGTCTTTGTCCTCTGCAGCCTGCTTCGACGCCTGGTGACTCTCATCTCCCAGCAGGCCACCCTGCTGGCCTCCAATGAAGCCTTTAAAAAGCAGGCAGAGAGCGCCAGTGAGGCGGCCAAGAAGTACATGGAGGAGAACGAGCAGCTGAAAAAGGTGCGGCTGCTGGCCTGCCCCAGTCCCGCCGTGGTTGGTGGACTGGGGACCCAGGCTAGAGGGAGAGCAGCAAGCAAGCTCGGGGGGGATGGTGTCTGGGCCAGTGGTGACTCAGGCACTTGCTCCTGAGGTCAGGATGGAGTGGAGCCTGCTGAGGAATGCTGAGTGCAGGGAGACGGCTGAGGCAGATAGGACATGCCACTTTGAACGCCATCAGGTGGTCCAGCTAGCCCTGCCCTTCCTTTCCCCTGGGCAGGCAGCCGGGCCCTGGCCTTTGATGGGTGGCTTAGAAGAAGCAGTGGGCCAGTTCTGTGCTGACATTTGGGGAGGGGGGGGGTAGGGAAGGGAAGGTCTGGAACCAGGCCTTCCCTCTTGAGTAACCGTGGCCCTTGGCTCTTCTCCTAGGAAGCTGGTGTTGACGGAGGCAAGTTGCGCCTTGGGGAAGCTGAGGTGAAGGTGGAGGAAGAGAATAAGAGCCTAAAGGCTGAGCTGAAGAAGCTGAGGGAGGAGCTGGCCAACAGCAAGCAAAGTGAGCAGCTCTCCCCCTCAGCTGGCACTGCCCCCTTGTGCCCAAGGATTTGTCTTCACGTTTCTGTCTTCGTCCTCTCCCCCTTCCACCCCAGGCAGTGTGGAGTGGGAAGCGGCCTGAGTGGAGCTGGGTGGGACCACAAATCTCATAGCCCATTGCTTTAGGCCTGGGCCAGCTACATACGGGGTGGGGGGTCAGGGAGCAGGTGGTCCATGGGGCAGGAGGAGCTCGTGGCTGAGCATTTTGTTTTTTAAATGGAAACCAGCTTGGGAATGGGGGAGACTCCTCAGCGTGCCCTGAGGAGAGCCACCTGCTTTCCTCTAAGACTGAGGGTCTGGCTTAATGCCATCCCGCTTATTTAGGTGGGGTGGGGGGCTTTACTCAGGGTGGGTACAGAGGTAGGCCCCTGCTCTCTAACCTGCCCTGTGTCCTCCTCTCACCTGTTTGCCTGGGGTGCAGAGCTGGAGAAGGCGGAGAATGAGGCCCTGGCCATGCGGAAGCAGTCAGAGGGCCTGACCAAGGAGTATGACCGCCTGCTGGAGGAACATGCCAGACTGCAGGTCAGGGGGCACCCGGACACCCATCTTCCCTGGCAGAAGGGCAGCGTTTTGAGGAGCTGAGATGGTGGCCGAGTGAGAGTTAGGCCTTGTGGTCCTCTCGGGAAGAGATGATGGGGGGGGGGGCAGCCCACCTGCCCGCCCCACACTGTCATGTCCCTCCCCTCACTCCATCTGAGCATGAGGGGCAGCTTCCTTGGGAGCCACCAAAGATGTGAAGCTGGGGAAATGACACTCAGATGGGTGGGACTCAGATGCTCCTCCTGGGGGTTGTTGGGGAGGTGCCTTTCCATGGGTTAAACTAGCCAGAAGACCCCCTGACTGAACAAGGGGAGCAAGTTCCCATGGGGTCAGGGGTAGGGGGTATGGTCTCACCCTGGCACCTTGGCTGGAGGTGGAAGTTCACCTTGCCAACCTATTGCTCTCTGTTCCCTTCAGATGGCAGTTGATGGGCCCAGTGACAAGAAGGAGGAGTGAGGACAGGCGCTCCTCAGCGGCCCCCAGCCTGCACGCATGCACTCACCTCACCTTGTCCCATCACCTCTCCCCTAGCCTCTGTCCCTCCAGCACCGGACAGGGGCCTGCTTTCCACCCATGTCTGGGTGGCTTGGGCAGGGGCTGCTCTAGCTGTTGAGGCCCCTCCTGTGCGCTCTGTGGGTGGGGCAATAAAGGCTGCTGTATGACTGCTTCTGACCACCCCCCTTGCTGAGGCCCAAAACTGTCCTGTCTCTGGAACTCTGCACCTGCCTACTGAGGCCTGGGTCCTGGCAGCCCAGGGTGTGGCAGCCTGCCGGTCTTCAGGGGGTTTGGCAGCTGGAACTGGGGACCAGTCAGCCAGGTGAGCTGGCAGGGGTTTGGGTGGCAGGTGCCAGCACCAAGTTTCTGTTCTTCACATTTGGGACAGAGAGAACTCGGCAGAGTGCCACCAGTCACTCCTGGCCTCACCCCCTCTTAAAGGTTACAGGATGACCTCTGATTAATGTGAATCCAAGAGACAGCTTGCCCTTGGCCATGACCGTAACCATGACCTGTTCCAGCCCCCATTAGGGTGAGTCGCCTCTTCAGCCACTCCTGGAGCTATGCCAGGTTGCATCAGGGACCCAAGCTGAGGATGGAATGGCCCCCGGGGCTTGGCCTTGATCGAGGGGTGTCCACCAGCCTTTCCCTCGGCCTCCTGGCCGCTCCCTTGCTGCCTGCCTGTTGCTATGCAGAAGCCTCCAGGAAGCAGCCACGCCACTGAGGCCACCCTGAGCCTCTAAAGGCGAAAGTCCAATCCTGCCTGCCTCGTCAACAGCAGGCCCACCGCCCCCCCCCCTGAGTGCCCGTCTGCACCAGGCCTTAGGGTGTGTGCGTGTGTGCCTCAGGCGAGGCTGGGAGCGTCCTGCTCACCTGCTGGGCTGCCTGCTTCCTGTGGGCCCTGGCTTTCTCTTGCCACTCCCCCAGTCTTGTCAAGGGTGGGGACCTCAGCCCTGCTGAGCAAGGGACAATTGGAGGATGGGCTAGAGGTAGGGCTCTGGGGCAGCAGTTAAGATGGAGGGGTGGGGGAGAGGCCAAGGTACAGGGTGAGAAGGAAATAAGCAATCTTGGAGATATGACCTTGATGGATGGGCGCAAGGGCCTCTGCAGCCAAAGCCACATTCCACACTGGATCTGCCCATTTCCCACAGCTCCACATCCCACCACCCCCACTTGCTTGAGGGCATCCAAAATGCACTGCCAAGCCCAGCTAGCCTCCACAGGCCACCTCACCTGACCTTGGAAGCATCCAGCCCATGGAAGGTTCCTTCCTGACAGCCCCTCCCCATCCACACCGCTCTTGGCTCACATCTCCAACTGCCAGCAGACACCTCCACTTAAATGACTCCTACACAACTTGGCCAGATGCGGTTCCCCATTGTCCCCTAACTACCATCTTTTAACAGAGCCCTCACCCCACTGATTGCACCCCTGGGCCCAGAACCACCTTCTCTGCTGGGTGTGGCTGTTGCCACCTCCCTGGCCTCTGACCTGAAGTTTTGCCAACCAGCACCTCACCTTCAGACCTTTACAGTGAATCATCTCTTGGGAAATGTCAACTCTCAGCACCACTCTGATTTCTGTGCACCACCCCCCTCTTTTGGTTGGTTTCATCCCATCTGTCCAACTATGTCAGCTCCATGGAGAAAGGCTTTCCACTCTCCTTCCCGTGCCCACCCTGCCAGGTAACAGGCCCCACTGGGGGCAGGTCCCCTGCACCACACCATTCTCTCCCCCAGGGAAGCTGAGGCAGAAGCAAGAGCCACTTTGGAAAATGACATGTCTTTATTGCTATGTTTGCAGTGGCTTTTTAGCACAGTAATGTCCCCGTGCAGGGACACCCCCACCCTCTACCTATGTCAAGGTGCAGGGTGGAGGATCCTTGCCTGGGTCCACTCAGCTGCCTGGCCTCGCCATGATGCAGACGTGGGGTTAAAGCTGCAACGTGGAAGACTTCAGATGTGGAAAGTGCACAGCCTTAAGCTTGGAGGCGGGAGGCATTACCTTGGATCCCTGCTATCCTGGCCCACTCAGGAGCAGAGTGGGGCATGGGCAGGCCTGAACAGCCCAGGGGAACAGTCCTGAGCCTCTTAGGACAGAACCCTTTACTTGCTCACCTGACTGTGGGACCAGGAAGGGAGATCACATCACCACCAAAGGCCCTGCCCTACCACTCCGCACCCATCTGGGACCACGATCGCACAGGCGACTATTCGCCTGACAGCTGGAAGCTTCAGTTTTGCCTATGAAAATTAGAGCTAGAAATTCACACTCCTTGGCAGGGGTAAAGGAGGCTGTTGGGCACAGGGGAAGGGTGTGAGGAGGCCCCATGGGCCTGTTTCTCTTTAGAAATATACAAGCAGATATCTCACTCGTGTTTATAAAATGTGCAAAATACAAGCCTTGTTTGCTCACTGGCACCTGGTATTCACTTTTGCTGAGACATGTTCCAGACACACAGGACTCACGCACACAACTGCTAGCCACCAAAACCAGAAGGCTCCATAGCAGGCTGGTGCTCTAAGCTAGAGGAGGGGGTGGGGTGGGGATGGGGGTCTGACCAGCCCAGTTGCAATTACAGCCTCCATCACTCTCTTCCCCCTCCCAACCCCTGCCTTTTTCCCTCTCCTCTGGGGCCCCCAGGTGGCTTTTGCTGGTTCTGGACGATGGGGTCCCCAGAGCAGAGAACTGCAGGGCAGAACCTGGAGGCAGGGGCCCCAGGCCAGTGAGCAGGGCCTTCAGAGTACCCAGAGGGAGGGAAGGGCCTGGGAAGCAGCATGTGTGCCAGCTGGACTGCTGACAAGAATGGGTGGGGGAGAGGAATCTATTTTTGGTGGGTTGTGATATTTTTGGCGTTTTATTAAAAATGGAAAAATTATTTTAGCACTCACTGTGCTTTCCCCTCCCCCCACCCCAGGCAGACCCCCAAACTGTCAAGGAGAGGCAGGCACCCCCACCCCTCCATGGAGGGCTAGGGTGGGGGCTAAAGCAGGGGCTGCTATGGCTACAAGAAGGGGGCTGGTGATGAAAGCTGGCCAGCCTGGCTGGAGAGGAGGGCCGCTGTCACATGGTGCTCTCCACCACCACCACCACCACCTTGCTGCTCTCCGACCCTGGGGTCAGGGTGGTCAGGCCCCTGACGTCCGAGTCCTGAGCTCTGTACTCCAGGTGGTGGGGCCCCCATACGGGCTGGATCAGGTGCTGCCAGCGCTGTGGGACAGAAGAGCACCGGTGACCTCTCCTCCAGGACCCCCACTCCATCCTCTGGGGACGACCCCCCAACTCCCCTGGCAGCCCCAGGCAGACTGTTCCCTCGGGCAGGGTGTTGGGCACTGACCTCAGCTATGGTTCCCTTGGCTCTGAGGAGGCAGACCAGGAGGTGGAGGGGCACACAAAGCATGGAGGAGAACGCGAAGCCCCAGCCCACGGCCTCGCCCCACCACGGGTACACATAGGTGTTGTTGTACACCAGCGGCTTGTAGTACACCACGTTGAAGATGAAGATGCCCTGGCAGGGGAGAGGCATCAGCCACCACATGCCTAGCCACATGGGCCCCCCCTGCCTGCCCTCCCGCCGTGGCCACCACCACCCCACATTACCATGCAGACCAATGGAGTGAAGAAAGCCCAGCACCACTTCATCCAGGGGCACGGCCGGTACCCAATCATGCAAGCGATGTCGTCCATGAAACGGTCGGCACCTGGGGAGGGCAGGAGGAGCTGCAGTCCTGCCTGCAGTCCACCCTGGCCTGGCCCACCCCTCCCCATGCCAGCACCTACCGTAGACCCAGGCCACCACCACACACTCCCAGAAGGCCTGCCAAAGCAGCGTTGTACCGCTGGCCGAGTAGTAGTCAAACAGCTGGAAGACGTACATCCCGCCCTGGTGGGGGGCACAACCAAGTCAGGCAGGGTTTGGTAATAGTGAGAGCCAGGGGTGGCCCGTCTAGCCCACTCACATCAGTCACCATGGAGAGGTCAATGACGAAGCAGAGAACACAGCAGAGGGCCACAGAGATTTCCCTTTGGAAGCGGAAGTAGTAGGTGGCCGGGAGGAGGTCCAGGAGGCCAGTAATAAAGCCCTCTACACCTACAAACTGTGGTAGGCAGCTCAAATGAGGCCCTGTTCCCAACCCTGCCCCCCTCCCGCCACCCCCCCAGCCCACGGCCCCTTCCAAACCTGGCTGTCGAGACCAAGCAACAACAACATGAAGAAGAAGAGGGCTGCCCAGAGTGGGGCCACTGGCATGAGCGTGACAGCTCGAGGGTAGGCTATGAAGGCCAGGCCGGGTCCTGTGGGGAGGTGCAGGTGTCAGAACAGCCCTCGGACACACAACCTCTGGCACAGAGGAAGGGGCAGGGGCTCAAGTCTCCAGATGGCCTGGCTTGCAGCCCTCACCTGACTCGGCCACCTTGGAGATGTGCACGCCCTGCTCAGCTGCCATGAAGCCCAGGATGGAGAAGACCACAAAGCCAGCGAAGAAGCTGGTCCCGCTGTTGATGACAGCAAGGATGATGGCATCCCTGGCGGTGGGATGAGGTGAAATGGTCAGTACACACGGGCCAGGAGCAGGCTAGCAGGCAGGCATGGGGGGCTTGGGGGCCTGAGAGGCTTACTTGTAGCAGTTGTTGTTGAAGCGGTTGTAGCTGCCCAGGGCTGTCAGGGCCCCCAGGCCAATGGCGTAGGAGAAAAAAATCTGTGTGCCTGCATCGATCCACACCTGGAGGGCCAGTGTCCAAGGGTGAGGGGGAGTGGGTCCCAGCAGCCCACCCCATCCACCCTGCGCTATTTAGCCCTCACCTGAGGTGACTGCAGCTTGGACCAGTCAGGCTTGAGATAGTAGATGATGCCGTCCAGGGCGCCAGGCAGCAACACGCCGCGCACCAGCAGCACAACCAGGACCACGTAGGGGAATGTCGCAGTGAAGTACACAATCTAGGAGTCAGGATGCTCAGAGACCAGGGTCACATGGGCCAGATGCACCCCCCCCCCACCCGAACACCCCCCCAACCTCACCAGCAAGGTCAGTTGCAAGGCCAGTGTTTGGGAGCACGTCCTTTGGGAGGATCTGACAGGTTGGCGGCGCTTATTTGAAAGTGCCCCAGGTGTGTGGGTGGGAGAAGCTTGTGGGGTCCCAGCCAGGGCAGGAGGCCCTCTGCTTCCCATGTCCCAACCACATGTCCAGGCAGGCCCCTGGCTTGGGGCCTGAGAGGCCTGAAGCCTGGGCCAGGAAGGCAAGTCAAGACCCCCAGCAGAGGCCCCACAGGGCCAGGGAGGCAGGCAACAGACTTGAGTGAGCTCAGATAGTGAGGGTCCCAGGTTGGGAGGATGAGCAGGGGGCAAAGTTCCCTGGGTCTAAAAGCACCTCCTCTTGAGGTCTTTGGTCCCACCCCCCTCCCCAGACCAGGCTGCCCCTCACGCCGCCCCCCCGCCCCCCCACTACCTTTCCTGTAGACTTGACCCCCTTCCAGACACAGAAGTAGACCAGCACCCAGCAGGCCAGCAGACACAGCATCACCTCCCAGTTGAGGGCCCCCGGCACTTCCAGCCCCCCGGAGAGCCGCAGGACTTTGTTCCTAGGGAGTGACCACTCGTGAGGCAAGGGCAGTGGTGTGGCTCTCCCCCTCTGCTGTGGTTGCAGCTGGTCCCTCTGGTCCACCTGGCCGGGCCACCCCAACACATGCGGCACCAGTTTCCCCACCAGGCAGGTGCGCCTGGATGACAGTGAGTGGGAGTGACAGCTGGTGTGGCCTGGGAGGGTTTTCTCGGCACCTGGTCGAAACTCCCAGGGCTGGGCCCCAGAGCTGCAGGCCAAGCGGGGAGAACAGAGGGGCACATTGGGCTGGGCCCAGAGGCGCCTGACTCACTCCCAAAACTCGATGACAGGGGAGCGGCGGTCAGCAAGCTGGTCACATGTGAGGTTGGCCAAGCTGGCGTTGGCACAGTCTTCATGGCGGAAGATCTCCACACAGTCGGGGGTGTTCCAGCTGTGGCCGCACGTGGCCCAGGGCAGCGTGGCGGTGAAGGACTTGACCAGGTAATAGACAGCCCAGGCCAGCACCATGATGTAGTAGGTGTTGCAGTAGAAGACGATGACCATGGAGGCGAAGCCCAAGCCTAGGGGTGGCACCAGGTACCTTTGGCTGGCCAGTTCCCTGACGAGGGAGTGCAGCAACAACCAAGTTTCTGCTCTCCCTGCCCCTCTACACCTCAGTCTGTGGAGTTTAAGGCCCCTGGGGGTCACTTTCTCCTGCCTCAGAGGGTCCCCATGGCCAGTGGTTCCCCACCATGGAGACAGTAACTACTCCTGCCTTCAGCTGCCTCTTCTGTACAATGGGCAACTATTAGGCTCAGGCACCCCCTGTCCCACTGTACCCTGCTATTCCTTCCCCTAGCCCCCTGCATGGCCAGTCCGCATCACCTACCGCACCCTCACCTTTGAACAGGGGACAGATGTTCCAGGCATTGACGCTGCCTGCCTTCATAAACTGGCCCAGTGAGATCTCCAAGAAGAAGATGGGGACGCCCCCCACCAGGGCAATCAGGATGTAGGGAATCAGGAACACACCTGGGGGGGGGGCAGCATGGGGAGGACTCAGGCAGCCTTCCTGGGGTGGAGCCCAGCTGAGCCCCGCCCTTATGGTGAATCAGTGGAGCTTGAGGCGCTGACTCAGGTGAACCAGCGCCGCGGGGTGGCCAGTCCTGTGGCTCGCCACCCACTGGGCTGCTTCCCACGGCTGCCTGCATTGACCTACAGGGCTGAGGGTACGTGTGCTGACGCACGCACGCAGGCTGAGCGGGGGCTCGGGCCGCAGCTTCTTGCCAGGCAGACCGGAAAGAAAAGTTGAGGGCATGTGTGCAGGCATGTGTGGCATGTGCATACGTGTTGTCCGTGGCTGGGCTTGGGCCAGGGCAGGGGAGCCCCTGCAAATGCCAGGAGTGGGGAGGTAGGCAGTAGGCTTCCGACAGAAGTGTGGTGAGGGATTCAGTGAGCAAGACTAAGCTTGGAGACATGGCGTCTGGGCCAGAGGTCTGGATAGGCCCTGGCAGGGCAGTGTGGGGAGCGTGTGCCCCCAGCAGCCCATCCTGTTCCCCCACTCCCTGTCTCCTTGCCAGGATCTGATCTCTGCTGTATAGCATCCTCATCCTACTTGTGAGTGACCTTGGGCCAAGGCATTTAATCAGGGGGCCTTTTCCCCACCCCATCACGCAATCACTGCGGCTTTGTGGCTCCAGTGGTGGTGAGCCCAGGATTGTGGCAGTGGTGGCCCACCCTAGCATGTGCATGCGGCGTGTCCTGTAGTGGCGCCGGGAGGCTGGTCCGTAGGCTTCCAAGGCTGGCTCTGGCACCCAGGGTTCCAGGCACAGGCGGAGGGGAGGGAAGGGATGGGAAGGGAAGGGAAGGGCTACCGGGAGGGGGAGGGACAGAGCAGCCCATTGTGTGTGTTCGTGTGTGCACACGTGGGGGCCCCACACAATGTGCCACTTGTGTGCAAGACTCTGGACTCGCGGGGGCAGCCAAGGATCTTCACCTCTGGGACCCCCGAGGGCAGGCTCGCTTCCCACCTCCACGTCCAATCCCGAGGCCGGCCCCTCCCCCCGCACTGCCAGGCACATGACTGGCGGGGGGGCGGTCCCCCCTTGCCACCCCCCCGCCGGCGGGGGCGCTTACCTCCGCCGTTCTTGTAGCACAGGTAGGGGAAGCGCCACACGTTGCCCAGGCCCACGGCGAAGCCCACGCACGACATGATGAAGTCCATCTGGCGCGTCCAGGTCTCGCGCGGCGGCACGGCCAGGCCCACGGTGCCATCGCCCTTGGCTGTGGCGCCGTCGGGCCCGGGCGCGATCAGGGGGCCCTTCTTTTCGTCGCCAGACACGCTGTAGATGCCGTTCTCGGCGCTCTTCTTCGCCATGGCCCCGGCGGGCGCGGGTGTGGGTGCGGG